AGTAGAGCATGCACAGGGTATGATTAACTAGGCGGTCAATGTTATGAGCTGCAATTCCACATTCGTTTCAGACTATCGCCCCGGGAAGTTTAAAGGGTCGATGAGTGGTTTCAGTGCCCCACTGTTAGGCGCAACAGTCAGTCGTCATAGTTAGGAAAAAAATCACTTGAAGCAATTTCACCCTTCCGCAAGAACTTGAATATACTATGATGGCAGGTGTGGGGAGCTACACGATAACCAACATATACCTTAAAATTAGCCAGGTAGCATAGTGCGTTAGGTTCCTGTGCTGTATTCGACATGAAGATCAGATAAGAACGCTTTATGGAAGCTTGCTCATAATTACCTACAGTGAAAACATTTAGTAATCGCAACAGAAATCGGCAGTCTGTGCAGGATTTACCCCTGATAAGCTGACTGCCATAACTCAAGCATTAGCTTGGCGAAAATAACAAATATGAGCTTCAGAGATTACAAAAGGTGGTCAACTGTACATCAAGAACGAAAACGACGTCATTGGTATTGGCAAATGCTGCTATTCGGTGTCTGATAAAGACGTCAAAAGAAATAGTGCGAGGCTGACGTGCTGGAGCAAATATTCCCTAAAGGTCGAAAGAATATGGACCAGCACACCAACTTTTATAAACTCCATTCGTTAAACTGCGTGCTATATACGCCTATTGTTTGTTCGACTTGACGATGAAACTAAATCACAAACAGGAAATAAAACCAAGTTTCTACTCTGATTCACGCAATGAATGCAAAATTATTGAATAAAATGGGAGGGTGAGGAGATAAACAACACAATGTTTTAACTTGCTGTCCCGTCAGAGTTAAGTGGGTAAGTCCACCAGAAAGTAACCGATAGCAGTAATTTCGACAGGAGTTGTTAATGTCCCACTTTACCAGCTGCATAGAAACGACTAGGGTAAGCAAAATGGGGAGTTTAAGGACAGAAAACTGTGCGTTTGAAAGGAAACCAGGACCGGTTTTATAAAACAGATAAGGAAGAAAAACCGAGACCAGAACAAACCTCTTTTCTTTTCTGCAGCTCCTCTTCTTCTCGTGCCTTCCGCTCGGCCTCTTCCCGACGTCTTTGTTCTAGCGCTTCACGTTCAACCTTTACTCGACGCTCGATTTCGGCGAGAAATTCCTCTTCGCGATTTTTCAAAAGCGCTGCGAGCTCGTTTTCTAGGTAGCGCTCTAGACGACGAGCAACCTGTTCCTCGAGGATTTTGGATTCGGCCCACTGCTGACGCCTTGTAACCAGTGCCGAGAAAAATAACAACATAAAAGGAGTGGAACATATCACTAAGCTATAAAATAAATCTCTCCTAAGTGAAATATGGAAATGTACCAATGGCACATGAAATAGGTTGGAAGACAGGTGATACGAACTGTGCATCATAGATATCAGGTACTTGCTGGAAACGACATAATGCTGGCACAGTTAATGAAACGAACTTAAATACATACGAAAGTCTTTCCTCTTCGGCCTTCTGCTCTTCCTTCTTCCGCAAGACATCTGGCCGATCCTTTTTCTTGGAGGAAACCCGAGCGATGCCGGAGCTAGAATCATCTGAATCCGTGCTGCCGGTTCTCATTCGTCTAAAAGCGAAAATAAGTGGATTTGGACAAATTACTTTGACTTTATACGTGAATACGAACGAGAATTCCCAGAATCGTCGCTTTCGCGCATCCCTGTCTCAAAAAAGACCAAATGCAAATGTGCGCTGTATGACTCTATGCAGCATTTGGAGGTCAACGTTGACAAGGTATCACCTTTTCAGGAGCCCGTATATTCCACTACCTCTTCTGAAAAAAATGTGCTCAAGCTTTAACCCACCTCCAGCTAGCATCCCCAGTAGCTCGCCCCAGCAGATTGCTAGAGTACTAGAATGGCAAATAACTAGGAGAAAACTGCAGCCTGACAAATAGCTCGACCACACAAATTATTGGATCATAGCGGAATCTTGGGTTGCACAATATGTTCGTTGATATACTGTTTCCAAGCGTACAAGTGAGTAGTTTTGATGTCGAAACAAATTAACCCTTAAGGAGAAGATAAGAAAAATTTGGAGAACTGGGTCTACTGATAGCGTGATCCTGAGGTGCAAGTGCTATTGTATCAAATGTAATAATAAGCTAAGGGTTCTACAAGGCAGGAACAATTTCAGGATTTAAAAGTTTCCACTTCGAATTATAAACAATATCTGCCAAAATAAAAGGCTGCTCTTTGTTAAGATAGTAAGAGTAAAGCAGTAGGCAACACAAATCCAATTAAATTGCATGGGAAATAGCCAAAAGCTAGCAATCACCGTGCAATGGAAAAGGGTACATATAAGCATATCAGGGAAAATCTAGTTGCATGCTACATTAGGCAACTGCTAATTAACGAATAAATTATTTTCTGGAATCGCCGAAAAATCGTAATTTGGTCCAGAAGGTCAACCAAGCGAGAGCTATGCCAAAAGAAATATTGAGTGGACCTCGAACTATCAGGGCAAAAAATTCGTGGACATGAAACTTGATTACTCGGTATTTAACCGACTCAGTATTTGGTGAGTACCGACATGGTTTGTCCTTGAAAAGTCTTTGGCTGGTCTGTTAGGGCCCAAAAGACTTGCTCCAGGTCGAGTGGTTATTTCCAGTTCAAAGGTAATTGTCCGATTTATATAAATCTATTTATTTAAGAGACGAAATGAATTATACTCTTTATTCTTCTTATATCCAATATCCGTAAGTACTAGTACTTAATTTTATGAAATATCTGTTATCATTTCCTTTGATGGTTTGATTAGGTAATTCTTCGGGTTGCTCACACAGCCTTCTGCTATCCGTTTGTGTTGCTTTCAGCGGTTTATACAAGCTTAAACCGTTAGATTATTTATGAATTCCAGCAATTTCTGTAGTAAGTCTGCTTGTCGTTCCAAAAAGAACAAAGGCAACAGTTTTATTTTGTATAAAAACCCGGGTCTCTAGATTCAAACAGTGTTTGAAAGGAGTTAATAACATCATCACTGATATCAGTCTTCAGTCTGACATCAGAATTCAGCCGAGTGTTAAGGCCGAACAAATAGATTTGTCTGCGATGAAACATTGCAACGAATTCATGCTCAAATTTGGCTCGTTGCTCTCCATTCTTGGGACGCTATTCAATTGGAACATCTCTGCGTCTCCCTCCCGTGATTGCAAGCGTTCTGATGCACTCGTTCATTTGGTCACAAGCGGATCGTACGGCAGGAAAAAAAGAATGCAAGACTTTATGGTGGTTAAGGCTACGACGGTTAAACATAACACCTACAATCATTCAGACCCTGGTTCCTTAGGAGATAGGAGAAGTCTTGGGAAG